CACTACAGGCCAATCGCGCGCTGCCTCACGGTCCTTTTCCAGTTCACGTTCTCTCATAATTAACATAATTCACACAGATTTCAACGATGCTCCAAATTCTTCTGAGGTAAAACAATGTGCTTTGTCTGTTCCAGGCTACGAGCACAGCGCGCCACATAAAAACAACTTAACAACGCTGGAGAATAACCCCATTTTCAGGGACTGGCGGAGGATACCAGTGGCCCAAATTACATCACGGGAATACAGCTCCACTTACATCACTAAAAGTTTTTACGGCATATTATCTTGTAAGAGTTGAAAGTGACTCGCGGTTTACTCAGCTACAGACCACACTGCAGCGTACAAAGCTGGATAGCATACCGAGAAGCTAACGGCTACTGAGGAAAAACAAAAATTCCCGAGTACACAGAGCTCAGTGTTCAAACTCGGACCTGCCGTGCACTACGAGCGCCGCTGCAGGGACAGCTCACTGATGTGTGTTTGCTGAGGTTGTGCGATTCATCACCACCTGGTTACACGAAAACAAAGCTGGTGAGAAATTTCGACTTGGCTACATTTGCCAGCAGGAAGGTGATGTGCATCTCCTCCGTGGTTGCACCGCGGCTTTGCTTTGGCTTTGCTGTGGTAGAAAGAAAACCGTTCCTGGCTGCTTTACTGGTTTTATTTTTCATGCTGACAGTTGTTCTTTTTTAACTGGCTTGAGAGTGAGCGAGAAGCATTTAGCCGCCTATATTTAATGTAAGGTGGATGCACAGAGAACAGATTTCTCCATACTGGGGAAGGACGAACATGTTTTTATTTTAAAGTTTTATCTGCACCGTTACAGGAGGAGCACAACAATCATTTTAGCTATTTTAAGAGAGTCATTACACTGAACCACAAAGCATCCAGGTTACAGAGGAAAACAGTTTGATGATTGCCTGCTGTTTGTTCACATGGTGAACTTTTCCCGTACAGCAGAAAAATAACAAACATCGATTGAAGGACTTGACGTGATTTTATCACATCGCAGGGTTCAATGCATGTCTTTATCCTGTCTTCCTTCTC